GTGCGAGTTCTATTCCCAGGGCGATGAAGAATTAAAAAATAAAATGCCCCTATCCCCGTTATGTGACCGAACAAAGCACAATGAAGTTTGCCAATCTCAAATTACGTTTCTCAAGTTTGTCGTCATGCCTCTGTTCGAAGAACTAACCTACATAGATGACATGAAATTTGTGAAGTAATTATAATTGAGGGATCAAGAGATGTTTCTCTGGGGGGGAAGACTTGTCCGTCTCCACCGTTATGGGTGCTCATGCGTGTGCCTGCGTGTATGCATGTGTATGCATTTGTATATATAAATGTCACCCCTTGGAAACGCCCTCTTTGCCCCTCTCAGGAATTTCTGTCTAAAGAGACTACACAGCAATTGCCTCATGTGGGAACAACTTATGAAGGAAGAAAAGGAAATCAAGGTTTACAACCCAGCGTCCGTGAATAGGAAGGAAAAAAACAAAAAAAGAATTGACAAAAGGAAGAAGAGTTACATCGATTTAACGTTATTTTTTATAAAAAATATTTCCGAATGACGCGAGGGGGATCACCCTTCAGAATTTAGGAAATGCTTCTTTCTAATTTTAGAGGAAAATGTCCTTGCACCAATTTTTAGTAGCGCGGAAAAGTCCACCTCAGCATCATTCTTTGACAACAATTTTCAGAACAAAATTATCCACTTGATGCATCTCATATTTGTCTTCACATTTTTAGCACACATTTAAATCGCCTTTAATTATTAAACATGCTCTTTCTTTTTAATTGATCTTGTACGTCAGGGAAATTTCATTTTGTCCCTTTTTCGCACTCCTTTGTTTTTGCCGTAGGAAACCAGAGTGTAATCTTTGGATTTAAGCCGCGCAGGTTTTTCTGAAACATACTTATGTACCCTTTCCTTTTCCCTTTTTCGCTTTAACATTTCTTTAATATAATTTTTAAAAAGGCGCACATGACTCTACGTGAAGTGCGCATGGCATTGTATGTCATTTGTTGTTTTTCTTTTCTTCATTTCTTCATCCTTCTGGCCATAATTACATTGTTTTAGTTTTTAAAACTTGTTTACTTTAAAATTAACATTTACTTGTTAAATGTAACTCACGTTTCGTTTAATTGATTTCGTAAAATTGAATGTATTTATAAATTGTTGCCATTAAGAAGGCAGCAAAAATACTCCATTCTTTTTTGCAACAACTGCCTTGTGTGCTTTTCATTCACACCAGGTAGATAAACATGTAATTCAAAAGGCCACAAAGAGTTAGCAGCATAGACAGAAAAAACTAAAAAAAAATCATATAGAGGAACAAAGAAAAAAAAAAAAAAAAAAAAAAAGAACAATTTTTTCGCCCCTCGAGGCAGTTACACATTTACACCGCCGTTATTTTTACAGTTTCTGTCCATTCCACTTGCCTGAAAAGTTAAAATTAACGGAGGGAAGCGAACCCATGAAAAAATGAATAATTGTGAATTTCCATGTGTTCCATTTCTTGTCGCAAATAAGAGAGGCCTCGACCGATTTGGTCATTTGTGTCAATTGGGCCACTTTGTAAACATGCTTACTTCTTCGCAACGGGTGTGAGGAGAAACTTTTTCAAGTTTAGGAATTTCCCTGGGTGGCAGAATTAAGCGCGAAACGAAGTGTGTGCATGTATGTGCCAGTGGGGGGTTAAGGCCCACAGGCATATTTACGCATGCGCGTAGACCTGTGCATACACACACGTGCAGGTATCTCTCCGCACGCGTCTCTTACCCTCATCGAAGGGGTTTTCATCCTCGTATAAACCCTGAATGTCCTCATACGTCGTTCTATTGGAGAGTATCATCTTTAAATGATAAAAAAATAAATTAATTAGCAGAAGGGACGACGGGATGGTGTAAATAATATACAGCGCACTGCAGGAGAAAGGGGGAAGAAAAGGGAAAATGAGAGAAAAAGACGGAAAAAATGTGTTCGCCCTGGAGGGGAATGAGGGGCTAAAAGTAGAAGAATGGTTAATCGGTCAATGGAGTTATTCCTCACTATAAGTTTTTTTTTTTTTTTTTTTTTGTTGTCGTTGTTCGCTGGGCGCATTTTATTTTCCTTTAATTTACATATGCGGATATTCAAAGGTTATGTAAAAAATAGACCTTAAGGTCATGTTTTGGTATTCCTTCATGCAGAGGCACTGCAAAAGAGGGGAAAATGACGAAATGGGCGTGGGAAGGGATGACTAAATAGTTACTGCTCTACCGAAGGAAAGTCACCTGTGCGTACAGAGCCGCACACGCCTGTCCATTACAATAAATATTCCAATAAAGGTAAAACATATTATTGTTGAAAGGATTGACAAATTCAAAATGAAAAAAATAAATCTCCTGTAGTTTCGCGCTCCAATACAGTTCCCCAACCTGAGGAGTGAATGGAAAAGATGAAGAAGAAAGGAGAAAAATGAAGAGAAATGAATAATGGTGAGAAAAAATAACGAAACATGAAGAGAAACACAACGCGTTCATACACCTTGGGAACCGCGAAGAGTCGCCAATGCGACACGTATGAACATTGGGGACTCCACTTTCGTCTTCGCTTATTACCATACGCAGTGGTGATCAAACTTGGTGACACAATTATTGCACATGTAGCAGTGCTTGCTCCTTGTCTCTTTAAAATGGTTGCAGTGCGCTGCAGGGAGGGATAGGAAAAGTGGGGGAAACGATGGGCGGACAAGCGGACAGACAAATGGACAGATAAATGGATAGATAATCGAATGAACGAATAAGGATGGTGAAAACATACCACACCAATAGTTCTTTATAATAGTGCCATTTAACTTTACAGTTGTGAAAGCAGCTAAACGAAAAGGGGGACAAAAAATGGGAGTCGAATGAGTTTATCCGTAAAGATGGGGAAGACAAACCATCTATAGGAATATTCACAATAGGATGAGGTCACTCATGCATGAACAGAATTTTCGCTGAGAGTGAACTACACTCTTCGTACTTCTTCCCTTGGGTAAAGCTAAATCGACATAACTCTTTTTTGGAATTCTGCAACAGGTGAGGAAAAAACAAAAAAACATTATGATATGTTAATTTCATGTAAAAATTTAACTTCCCAGTGGACTCATTCTCCAACTCACATTCCAGGGTCGCAGAATGCCGTCGTCGTTAGGAAAAACAAAACTAAAATGAAGAAGGTCGTTATTGAAAGTATCGCAAGGCTTAACAATAGGAAGGTCTCTATGTGGGAATAGCTGCAATTCAGATGGGAAAAAATTACATATGAAAATAAAATGTATGCGTTGCAGTGCTGTTGTAAGTTGTTGAAAGGGTGACCGGGGGAGTAGCTGCACTTCGTTTTCGCTTTACCGCTTCATTGCAGTATTTTTTCGTGGTTACATAAGTTGAAGTGCATTCATTTATGCAAGCACTCATAAGCAAGAAGACATAAACAGACACTCATAGGCAAGCACACATGACAAAGCACGCCTGCATCTACATTTTGTTCTTCTCCTCATGACTGATTTCTATAATTCGTTTTGCACAGGTGCCTTCCCTACTAAAAGGTGAACGCGCGCTTGTCACTACTCTGTGCACATTTGCAGTGGAAACTATAACGAAACACTTACACAATTATGTAGATCGGGAAAACCGTAATGATTATGATCGTGTAGGTAAAAATGAGGTGAAGGATATTTGGCCCCGTTATGACATTTCCATGACACAGAAAAATGTTATTGCTTTCGTAAACTAGGGGGATGAAAAAAAGGGGGAAAAGAAAGGGGGAAAAAGTGTGCGCAAGTATGTATGCAAGTGTCTACTCACGTATACATCGCTTTTATGATAAAATATATATAGGATTCACGGATATGCATGCAGGAAATCCCTGAGCCATGTTTAGCTCTCTATTTTTTCCCCTTTTCTATAGATGTGCCGAACCCTTATATAAGGGTAATAGGAAAGGAGCCCTGGCCCCTTTTGTTTGAAACATTTACGTCAAAATAGTTTGGAAAAAAGTATAAAAAAAAAGGGGGTGTTCTTATTTATGCAGAGTATATAATGGGAGTATTCTTCATCTATGCAAAACCTCATCTAATAACAGGTTCCTACAGGCGGAGGAAAAAATGACGGAAAGATGACGGAAAAAATGGCGACTAAAAATAGGTTCCAAAAAATGTAGGTCAAATAGATTCCTCGACGTGGTGCAAAATAGGTTCCCAGAGGCGTCGCAAAATATATTCCGTCGCAGCTCCTCCGTTGTTAAGCACAAACGCGATTGCACAGAACGTACAATATATGAACTACGCGCGGGGGGGCGAGGTGCCCTCCAACCAAGGCAACGCTTACAACGCTTAAAAAAATGTAAGCAGCGTTTATACTCGCATATGGAGCACTCGCGATGGATATATATATACGTAAAATACATACATTCGGAACGGAGTCCCTCAAGTGGAAGGGTTGATAAAAAATAAAGAAAATGTTGATGCACAGATGAGAACGACTGTAAGTATATGCGCATAAACATAAAGTACAAATAAATCTACGTGTAAATGTGGATATACAAAATTGTGGAAATATGCATACATGCGACCCTTTTTACGTGGTCGAATCGATATAGAGCATTTTGTGAGCATTTTTATGAGAGCCGATTAGCAGATTGCACGGTTGACAACACCGCATAGGCTACATCCGTTGCATCGGCTGCATACGCCACATCGGCGGCTTTCAATCTGCAGAAGGTTTCACCTTAGGGGGTACCAATCTGTATGCAGATCGGGAAACTGCTACGTATGCACAGCAGGTTTGCATACTCGTGTATACTTACGTGAGGCGTACTTCAGAATACATCTGCTGGAATCTAGGCCAGGATAATCCGATAAAAAGGGGGGCAAAAAGATAGCCTAGAAACTTGCCGCAGGGGAAAGCAAAAAAAAAAAAGTCTCTGTAGTGGCCGTAGCGGAGGAGAATAGACTTGAGTTACAAGGGGGAAACTCCTGATATGCCAAATAAACTAACGATTTCTTAGGATGTAAGAAAAAAATGACGGGCTTACAATTTTTCGAAAAAGTAAAAAAAACAGAAATACAAGAAATTGAGAAAAAACTTCTGCACATTCACAAGTGTGTTTCCGCAAGCTTGACCAATTCAGACCTTATAAATAAGGGAGAAATAATCTTCCATTGGAAAAAATGTCATACGTATGTAACAGATGTGAAAACAGATGTAACAGATGTGAAAACACATGTAACAGAATTTTTTGAGAATTACAAGAATTTTGAGATATGCAATGAAATCAATTTATCAATCGGTGAGTATTTTATGTACCTCATTATATACTGGAGAAATGTGAAAATTAAAAAAAATCCATTGAGAATTCTTAATTTGTATATTTTTGTGAACAATAAGTGGAAGGATAAATTAATTTACCATTTTTTAAAAAATCTCTTTTTAAAAAAGGACGATGAGCAGCAGGATTGCATGAATTGCAAAACGTTGATAATCGAATATTTCACTAATAATTATGGCACATTTCGGGAGGAGCACATTGGGTTATTTTACACGAATATTTTGAGATACATCAACAACAAATTGAAAATAAATTTTTTAAAAAAAAACCAAAATTATTTAAACATTTTTGCCAATTTTCTAATTACTTATAATGGGAATGCAACACTCCAAATAAAAAGTCACATGCTTAACGCCTTTTTACTTATTGCGAAAAATTTAAAAAAAATTCTGTTGCAGTTCCCTTTTGACAAAGACATATGCACACATGTGTGCTTGATTTACCAGAAGGTGAAAAATGTCATAGAAGCTTACCGAGCGGGCGTATGTCACCTTTTGGCTGAGAAGGCACAGCCCTTCCCCATCCCAGCAGTTGGAGTTCAATCCGAGTGGGTAGGTCAGTACGTTGGTGCCCCCAGCGACTCGGATAGTGATGAAGAATTTCATGCAGCTGAGGAGGAGGCAGAGGTGGGGGGGGAGGTGGAGGCGGGAATCCACGGCGGCGTAAAGCACCCAAGCGTTCTTCTGCTGCGCAAGTACCTATGCGGCATAAAAAAGATACAACAGCAGCTGCAACAATGTGACAACGTTATTAAGGAGAAGAAAAAAGAATACCCCTTTTTACTATTGTGTAAATATAGAAGCATATTAATTATAAAATATAAAAATGTAAGGCGCGTCGACATTAGTGATAACTTGGAATATTTTATATTATTTTTCAAAATAAGAAATTTACTATGTGAGGGAAGCAAAAACCCGTTTTTTATTTTTCTGTGCATAGACAGCCTAAGTTACTGGTTACAGAAAAATGAAAAATTGCAGTACATTTTTGAAGATGCCAAGGTAGGAGCCTTACCAAAAGGTGAAGCATCTGAAATGTGTTTTCTGACCGATGGGTTACCCAATAGTTGTGCCGATGAATGGGTAGGGTATAATGCAATGAAGAGAAATTTTCCAGGGGAAAAAGTTCCTTGGTCAAATTATGACTACTCAAATGGACGTGTCACAACTTTGGACTGTACCGATCTGTTGGACTTAGCCGATCAGAGTGAAGATAAAATCTGCGAAGAGGGTGCCACCCCCGTTAGGCATGACCAAAGGGTTAAACTCAGCCAAAATTACGGTTGTAGTGATTGTAAGGATGCCCCTTCTTTGTGTGGTACAGATTTCCCGTACAGTGGAGAAGGAAGGGAAGTTCCTGGGGATGCCAAAATGATAAGCGATGAGAAGACTCCTGAAGGGGTACCAGACGCGCCGGCGAACATTTCACCTATACGGATGGACGAACTCGTTAAAGCAGACAACTGTGTCAAGATAAGTAGTTTAAAAATCCACTTTGAAAGTGTGTCCCAGGAAAATAGAGTGAATTTTATGTCCCATTTGTACAGAGCAATTATGAGAAGCTTACTAGTAATCCTAAAAAAGTATTCATGGTATAACATAAAAATTATATGGAAAAGTTGCATTAGCATTTACGAATTTTTGCTGAGCAGCAAGAAAAATACATTTATAAAAAAAGACGTATGTGATCATTTAACGTATATAATTTTTAATCAGGAAAAGAAAAAGAAATATATGTGTTTATCATTGTTGTTGAAATACTTTAAGGAATCCATGTGTGAAAAAAACGTGTTGGAATATCTTTTTTACTGCTTCTTTCAAAATGACGATTTTTTCATGTTCAGTTTGTACGATCTCATAAAGCAGTGCATTAAACACATATTTGTCCACGCGAAGGATAAGCATCAGTTGTACTACATTTTCTTAAAGAACATTTTAATAACCGATAACTTTTCCATGAAAACTTTCTACATAAAAAAATTTATCGAGTTGTTTTACAAACATGATAGTAATTATGTGTACTTTGTTTTGAATAAGGAGTATTCTGACTTGCGAACATATTTTGATATGCTCCTCGAAGAAGAGCAAGAAAGAAGGTACATCCAAGCAGATCAAACCAAACCTGGACGAAACAATGTAGATAGTTTTATTGGCCTGAGCAGCGTCAACAGTGTGAAGAGTTCCAAGGAAATGACAAGCAGACGTTATTTTTTATTTTTAATGAAGCATCTGTTGGAGAGAAAAGACGCAGACGAAATTGCCTACAATGGTGTTGTCGACCAAATGGAGGATAACATCTTTTTGAATTACAGAATTGTGAAAGATGGAGTAAACTCGCTGGAGAAAAATGTCCCTAATGTGAAGGGGAAGACGTTGAAAGAAACATTTTTGATTTACAATTTTCACTCTTTGCAAAATATCGCCTTCTTAGAGCTGTACACATTATGCACTTTGCGAAAGTACGAATGCATCGAAGCGGTAAATTACAAAAGTGACTACTTCTATCAGCTCAGGAACAATGTTTTGCTAAATGTGAAAATTTTAAACAACTTTTTTTACTTCTCGAATGACGAATTTGTGCTGTCCATTTTGTCCTTCATTTGCGAAAACAAATATTTGAACCTCTGTGATTTGTATCTATTCCGCACCTTTTTAATCACCTCCATAACGAACATTTCGAGGACGAGTCGGGATGCCTACAGGAAGTACATTTTTCTGTTCTTCGAGAAATTTTTTATATATTACCAGAGGGTGATCGAGATGGACAAGCGAAGGGGCTACAACATCGAGGCGGGGAAGGAAAAAAAAACGCATGGGGACGATATTCTCCAAATAGAGAGAAGTTGTCAAGTGGGAGGAGCACACCTCGGGGGGGATATAAACATAGGTGCTACCCATGTGGATAAACACTCATTTGAAGTCCAAAAAGTTGTTTCCTTTCTGTATGGAAATGTGGATGTACTGCAAGATAACCCCGTTTGCGACTCACCAAAGAACGTTTACTCGACTTGCATATATCATTCTGCTGACGAAAAACACGTAGACCACAGGAAGGGGGTCTTCCTGTACAATTACTACCTCATGAATATCTTTTTTGTTCTGTTTAAGAACACTAATAAAGACATGAGCATCGAGGCAACTGTGTACTGCTCGGACATACTAAACACGGTAGTGGATTATTGCGCACATTTTAAAAATCTTAATTTTTTTTTTTTCCTATTCAATGCCAAAACGACTTGGAAGGAATTTTACCTAATATCGAAGGAGATCTTTTTCAAAACTGTGAATATAATTCTGCTAAAAAGAGAAAGCTTTTCCTGCTTAAATAATGCATTCCTTCCATTGGTAAAATCGCACAGGCAGGTGGACCATTCGTTTTATGCCTTCTTACTAAGATTGTGCTTCATTTCGTTAAATCACCGCAAGGAGGTGAACAAGAGAGAAGACGGAATAGCTACTAACCTTCTCACTACCACAAGCAGTGATAACCATGAGATATACCAACGGGTAAATAATTTGCGCCTGAACCCGAACAGGGATGGTGCCCCCCCATGTGACTTTTTCAGTTGTCTCATTAAATGCAGCGACGTTGAACATATAAAGGAGGACAACAAATATTTAATAAATTACGTAAACTACCTATTCGGTGATAGCGGCGATGGCGGTGATCGCGGCGAGGACGGTGAGACCCGTGGGAACCATAACAACAGCGCGACGATAAACATCCCATTGTACATATTCGAAAGCTTTATTCACAAACTTAAGAGAGAAAATATCGTAAAATTAACCAAACACGAAGACGTAGAAGATTGCGAAATGTATAAATTGGCCTACTACATAAACGAGTTTATTTTGTACCTTAAGGACAACATGGATTTCAGGAAAGAAATAGAGGGGGCAGCGTTTAGGAAACAGTTCTGTGAAATTAGCTTGTGCAGTTCGAGCACATATTTGAATTTCGAGCAATATAAGCTATTCCGTGTGCCGAGCGAGGCGCTTGAATCGTCGGATGGCTTCCACCTAATCTTGTTAAAAGTGTACGTCTGCAACGTGCTGCACTATTTTATCAGTTATTTGAACTTCCTATTTCTGAATGAGTCGAAGAGCTCTTTTTTCGACTGCAGAGGGCACCTAATTTTTGAGGACGAAAGTGAGAAGGAAGCAACGTCTATTATCATTTGGTTGTCTATCAAGTACATATCCATTTTGTTCACATCCATCGTTGACTTTTCCTTCAAATTTAATATTACCACTTCTGATGGGGATGACAACCGGGAGAGACACGACGACTCCGGGTTTGCAAATTGCGACTCGAAAAGTGAAAGTATGAGGGATGTAAATTATGGCAGTGGAAAGAAAAACATTTCTTTGCAGTTTTTTCACAGTACAGAAATTCATCTTATCATTCAGATCCTTCTGTGTCTGCTTCTTCACTCCAAGCATATAGCATGCCAGCAGTATCTGTCGGATTGCCTACTGGATATCTGCAGAATTATAGTCATGACAAGTTGCGAGAGTATGCAAACCATTCCGTTGTTCTACATCTACATCATTTTCCTTATTTTTAAAAACGAGGGGGGGGAATCGAAATGTACGGAGGAAGGTGGCAACCAAATGGACAAAGCTCCCGAGGGACGCCGCCATATCGCTTCGGACGAACCCGTCTCCAACGAAAACCCAGAGGACGCAGAACCCAACTTTGAGTTCCTAACGGGAATTATCAGCCGACTGAACAAAATGCTCACGACGAAGGAGGGAAACAATGTCGACGTAAGTGAAATTTTATCAGCACATTTTTTAAAAGGCAATTTTACGCCCCCGAAGTGGGGGCCGCATGACAAGCCCGCAGTTCAGAATGCCACCCAAAGGGAAAACAAGAGGGGAAGCGCTGAATCCAAGTGTAAGACAGCTCCCCATGCGAATCATAACTTCAAGTTAAATGACAAATTAAACATGCTCATTTGGGATGATGAACAAATTAAAACAAATTTTCTCAGAAAGTCGAGCAACATGTGCCTAGCGCTGAGCTCTTTGGCCAAGTCGTATAAAGCAAAAGAACAGTACATCATATACAGTTTTGTCATAAAAATTATAATCAATTATTTGCTTAACGGAAATAATAAGTATAAAAAGGTCATTTGCGTGAACCTTATAAAACATATATACACCACTATTGATAATAAAACGCTTTATGAGTACATGAATGATATTTATAGAATAGCTTTAATTTACTATAAGAGTAGATTTTTTTGCCTGAAAAGTTCGAGCACATCACTGTACAACATTTTAACCAAACGCCTGTTGGCCAAGCTGAATTACTCCTATCATGTGTCTTCCAACATGTATTATTTCTGTACGGGAAGCAAAAGAAGAATATTTAAAAACATCAATTTGACTTTTTTCGATTTATTAAATTCGGTCAACTTGTTAAAGATATTTTTAAATGTGTTTATAAAGAAGGGAAAATTTTTAAATGCACATGATTGTAGCAAAAATGAATGTAAACCCTTTTTTGATTATTCCAATTTTTATGCCCAATTTATCCCCATTTTGATATTTCTGTCAAATATTATCATTTTTAACAACGACGATTATTTCTTACTAAGGAATGTGAGGGGGGATTTGCTAGCTGCGCATAGCGTGCATCAGTTTTCGCCACACAGTGGCTCTCCGACGGACACAAGGGAGCAAATTGTAGGAGAAAATGAAAGCCAGAGCGATCTGCAAGAAGAGGAGGAGAACGCAGAATGGACAGAGGCTCCTACGGGTAATCACCCCTCCAACGATCCAGGTGGGGAAAATCAAACCCAAATAAGCAACATAAACATATACTTCCTTTTTGTGAAACACCTGAAAAAGTTACTCACCTACGGCAACTACTTCGTCCAAGTGCTCATTTGCAGAATAATCGTCAATGTGTATATGCACATATACCTAAAGCTGAAGAAACAAAACCTTATTTTTAACTTTTTAAACAAAATTGTAATAAACGCCATGGAAGGTGATAAGAGAAATTTCTATCTGCTTCTCTTCATAGAATTTGTGAGGAGGAAGGAGTCCAAAACGTTAGTGGAGGAAAATAAAAAAAAGTTCAGAAAAATATTCTTCCAGTTTTTATTCCTATTTGTAAGAACGGAAACCTATGTAGAAGTTTTGCTAATTTTGCAAATATTAAACATCCTGTATAGTAAGATATCCATTTCGTTGCACAAAAATGTTGTGGCTTTCCTGTTTAGACGATTGACACTATATCAGAATGACATGTTCATATCTGTTTTGGTGAATGAACTATTGATGAAGATAACTAAGCGGGTTGAAAATTTTGTTGCCCTTCTAGACATATACGCATCGAGCAGGAACGAGAAGCACATAGAGTCGTTCCTCTACAACTGGTTTCTGCACACAAAAAAGAGGCAAAAGAAGGAGCTTCAAATAAAAGAGAAGCAGCTCAGCGAATTGTCAAATTATAGTTCTTTTAAGTTTTTCTCTGAATGTCATAAAAAGGGGGTGACTACTCCCCCGGGTGAGGAATGGTTAGATGGGACTAAACGAAGTGCCTCTGGCCATAGTGAAGGAGAGGTCCAGGGAGGGGACGGTAAAACGGAACAATTAGATGACAAATCGGTGGACCAATCGCCGGACCAATCGGTGGATGAACGGATGTACATCTATCTGTACCTTTTACTTTTCCAAATAGCCCACACGTATAAGGACAACATAAAAATTAACAAGTACTGCTTCAGTATCCTGTTGACAATTGTAAATTTTATATCCATTGAAAATTTGTTCCTCTTCGAGCGTATGCAGCAGTATTACATGGAACATGTTAAGGAGAATTACCTGGACAAGTACATGATTTCGTATAGCTACCTTATATGCGTGAAATATTTTTCCATTGCGCAGAAGGCAGAAGGTAAGAAGAGTCAGAAGCAGCGCTGCGAACCTGGCAACAGATTTATCGAAGCGATTTATAACTTTATCGAAAGAGAGAAGGAGAGCATTGCTTCAGCTTTCAGTTGTAACTGGAAGGAATCTCTTTTCAACTATGCATACTTTTACTGTCTCCTTTTTCTAAATTTGCTGTCCCATCTGTGTAACAAAAATTCGGTGACGTATACGAAATATTTTGTGAAGGTCTTCATGAACTACGGAATTGTTGAATATCACTACGATCGTCTCGAGGAAGAGGAAGAAAAAATGAAAAATGTCAACGCAGGTGGAGGTGATGATATTGGGAAAGATTGCATGGTGCCCAAGGGAGAGAAACATTCTTCACTTGGCTACCCTACCGGAGACGATTCACCAAATTGGAGTAGAATAAATGGAGCGAAAAGAAATAACAAAAATGAAGTGTTCGATATGACACAATTTTCGAAGAATAATTATCCCCCTCAAGGTACCCTCCAAATGAATACTCCCAATTATGCGCTGCCCAAGGAAGAGGGTAAAGCCGGTGATGCCCGAACAACCACGTACACAAAATACAAAGAATGGTATAAGACCGATTTGAATCAGTGGATAACACAGGTAGTGAAAAACAAAGTGAGGAACCAAAATATTACATTCGATGTTGTGTATGTCAAAAATTCACTGAAGCATGTCAGAGGGCATAACTTGTTTACCGCCTTCTTTGTGGTACTTTACTCTTTCCTTATATTTATGTTAAATGATGAAAACGAACTGATAAGATACAAGGCCAAAATTGCAGTGTTGCAAATGATGAGGAAGAACACGTTAAATGTGTATCGAGCTATGAAAGACATAATCTGTGTTGAGTTCTTCATTTATTACCTTTCCAAGTGGCACCAACATGTGGCCCTACACATATTAACCTTTTGCATATGCCAAACGAAGAGCTGCATTAGAGATAGCTTTTATTACAACCCTGTTAAATTATTTGATCAGGAAAAGTACAATTTGTATATTAACAATGTGTTACTGAACCATTTGTTTGTCTTTTATTACCTGTTTAATATCACTGCGATTTACGAGAGAGGGAATCCGGGAGGGGGGATTAACGAGGGGATTACCGACTTTTACCGCTTCGTCGACACGATAGGTGGCCAAAAAAAAGACGCCTTGATGAGAAATGTAAAAATTGAAAATGCACCCCCGCTTCTTTCGACGGATGAAACCATTTTGGATGGACACGATTTATGCGTGTTGAAAGATGGTGCCGTATGGCAGAAGGTACTGGAAAGATTAGTCCGTAAGCGTGCCTTCTGTACGGAGTGCCATACTTTGGGTGATAAAGCGGAACGACCCCTTAGAACCTCCTGCTTTCTGTCATGCAGGAAAACGCTGGTGACATCCTACATGGAAACCTTTCTAATATTCCTACGAATGGGCTACATCCCAGATATTAAGAAAAGCCTAGACGATTATTCGCACCTCTTACGGTCCTACAAAAATGTGGACCTTTTTGATTCCAATTTTGTCATTTGCTGGAGCAACCTGTTCAACAAAATAATTATTCTTCTAATCAACATATTCATTTTCTTTCAAAAAAATATAGACCTATATGACAACAGTTATTTTTACGAAGAAATAAATATGATTAAGTTGAAGACCGAGTCAATTTATGGCACCTTCAAATTGGTAAGACATGAAATGAATCCGTTTTTACTGAAAAGTATGGAGCTTCTGTTGTCCATCATGGGCACTGCCTTTTTAAAAAACGGCAACTTCTTTTCAGATATATACACGTTGTTATACTCTTTGAAGAGTTCCGTTTAATGCGCTGTGTGATAAGCTGAGTTGCAAGGTCAGTTTGTAGCGTTAGGGCATTGGTCACTTTGGCATTTTGCTTATTTTTCGGCCGATCCACTGCCATACTGTTCGACCCCGTCGTCACTACATTTCGGTCGTGCCTTTTGCGCTCAATTCTTTATTCCATTTTCTTACTCTTTAAAATTTCTTGAAAAATATTAAACTTTATTTATTTCAGAATGGGTTTAATTATAAAATATAAGTTACGTAAAAAAAAAAAATAAAATAAATAAATTAAAAAAAAAAAGGAATAAATAAATAAAGGAACAACGTAGGAATGGAAAGTGGTGAATTGCTGGACAAACGAAATGTGCATTTGAAAGGAGTATAATCTGTGCCAATTACGAATTTTCAAATTTATCAGGAAAGCACTCCTTCACATCCTTATTGTGTTTATTCCGGGCATGTTCGGCTAGCTGTGCAATGCTCTGTGTCTGCATAAATACAGTATAACACACCTAGGGGGAGGGCAAGAATTTGGTGAAAAGACCACGTAATTTTTTGAGTATTAAATCCATTCGCATACGTACGTGGGTCTCTTCAGTTACCAAAATTGGAACTTTCGCCCCGTGCGGGTGCGAAATGAAGTTTTCGCTTAGGTAGACAACCCGCAATCATACATAGACAAAAAGCTACAGTGCGCACTTTGCTCCGCCGACTTACTTTGCAAATCACGTTTAGAGCGTCTTTGTTCGCTTTCAGCTGAGACTTTCCCGCTTTCACTTCCACATTCTTCCTCTCCCTTGCTTGGTTCCTTTTCTGTTCACAAATTACGGGGTCCACGTGTGGAAAGGTATGTACACTTATGTATGCAAATAGGCAGATATGTTTACACAAACATATTTACTTACACGTGCGTAGGTAGGTGCGAAATGGTGTGTACCGCTGCGCAGTTTTTTTTTCGTTTTTTTCTTTTTTTTCTTTTTTTTCTTTTCTCTCTTTTTTCTTTTTTTTCTTTTCTTTTTTATATGCTTTTTTCAAAACGTACACAAGCGTTGCTTCCTTTTCCCATTTTGCTACTCCGAATAAGGTGTACTTGTTCCCTTTCGATGAAAAAAAAATTAAATGTACGTCAAAAGGGCAGAATCAGCACACTCGCGAGTAAGGTGCACAGAGGTGTATCTTTGTACGTTCATAAGTATGCCCTAGCGGATGCCTGTAGTGATATGCATACATGTGCATATCGTGGACTGTTTTTCTTATGACATACTTAGCGTTGTGTACATAAAAAAATATCCTGGGGAATTTTTAATAAAGGTCAAACGCGTTTCAAAAAATCGGCGTTTCCTTTTGCTTCATATTCTTAAACATATCAAATGAATTTTAAATGATTTCGTTGTAGATATACATGTTCGACGTATTCATTGCATATGCAGAGCAATCGCGTATATACGTGGAGAACAGAACAGAAATGATAACATCACAAAAGGAAATAATGAGAATGTTTCTTCTCGTTAAGGCGGAGGAAAAAAGATGAATGCATTTGAATGAATAATTTCTTGTACAAGTATGCAACAATTTAACTAATGATTAAATGATGAAATCGAAGAAATGCTTCATAGAATGGTTACCTCAGGATGGTAAAAAAAAAAGAAAAAAAGCATGATTATATACAAATGAGTTAAGTACGCAAATCGACACAGAAGTAAAAGGGAATGTATGCACAATCGGAAGGAGGAAAAATGAAAATTTTGAATTCCGAATATCCGAAAAAAAAAAAAAAACAAAAAAACAAAAAGAAAAAAAAAGTTAAAAAAAGTAAAAAAATCTGAATAGTAACAAAATGCTAGCAGAAAAAAAAACAGTTTGCAAAACGTGACTTGCAACAATGGGAAAACTTCAAATCGTTAATTCTTGGGCATTGCCAAATCGTAGGATATATTTTTACTCATTTTTCGCTCTATCCCCTCTTTGCATTTCTCCCCCAATTTATTTTTTTCACATTTTCATGATTAAGCACTTTGTTAACACTTTTGAAGGAGCGGAAAAAGGCCTTTACAAACGCAACAGGAAAGTAGCCCCATAGGTGCATATTTGCATGGCATATATGTAAACTATGCACATACACGTATCATTTAATCTTGCTTGAAATCGCGCACTAGTGCAAGGAAAAAATGACATGCGATTTACGTACAGGGCAAAGCAACATCCCATTGACTTTTTTGAAAGTGTGAAGAACAAGTCTAGAAGGGGAACAATATTATAAAAGAACAAAAATGGGTCATGATGCACCTGCTGGGATGAATTTTATTTCTCCACAAAGCTTAAGAGGGTACTTATTTCTAGACATCAACGGAACACACATATAAAAAATTGAAATGGTCATCTCCACCATGGTTTCGTACGCGCCCAAGCATATTCATTGTTAATCAGTTGTTTAAAATTTTTTTTTTTTTCATTTGTTCTTTATGAAAGGCCTTCAACGTACAATTAAATGAGAAGCACTTTTGGAAACGGTCTAATTTAGTCATTTTTTTTTCCCCTCCTCTTCATGAAATTCTACAAAACATTATTTGTTAAATAAGGGGGGAGTGTGATGAAGGGGTAGAAAAGATGAAAGGTAAATTTGGGGCGTTGCGAATGAAATATACTGGCACAACCACTACTGTAATGTTTAGAAAGCTCGAGGGGAAAACCTTCGGTTAGTAAGTCCCCTCTTGGTGCAGAGCAATACAGATGAGCTAACTTTTTCTGCTTCTTACGTATCACATACTATGCACAATGTATGCGCAAAGTGGACAATTTTGGTGAGTAATTCTTCAACGACATTATAGAATATAAAGGGGTAATCACTTTACATTATATTTTTCCTCATTAACCGTGCCTAGCGTAGGTCCTTTGTTCTCCTTCATGTGTCAAAGTGGGCATATAAATGAATGTGTAACACTCTCGAAAGCAAATAAGAACGTGAGAAAAACTCCTCATGTTTTTCTGACTTTTCACTATTTTTGCAAAATGTTAGATACACTATAGATGAATAGTGCAGTTATTATCGTTGATGTGTTTTGGAACCTTCACAGTTGTGTTCTTTTCTTTCCGATTTTGATACTTTATAAAAAAATGACTCCCCTTTTTCTCGCATCGCAACCCCTGTCAAAAGATGC